TATCAAAACGCACATCATTCTCTGGTTAATAGATAGATATAATTCTGACCAGTGAAAGGACAGTTTGCACACATGCTACATTTTATAAACTAATTTTGGTCCAATTTGAAATCCAAACCGGTCCATGTTTCATGACAATTTAGTCCTGTTTATTTTGTTATCATTTTATTTTAAACAGCCGCCTTGCCATGTTGTGTCATAGACTTCAAGATACTTTAAAGCTTCACAAGTAACACTTTTTTTTATTATCAATGTTGAAAACAGTGCTGCTTAATATAGTTTTTGGAAACTGTGATAGATTTTCTTTCAGGATTATTTGATGAATAGAAAGTTAAAAAGAAAAGCCTTTGAAATAGAAACACAAAAAAACAGTTGCTGCCTTAAATGAAGTCAAGTCATTTTAAACTTAAATTTTATAAAAAGGCTTTAGAAATCAAGCTGAATCTCCTATAACTTCAAAAATGAAGTTGAAATTGGTTCAGCTGTTTTGATTAAGTTGAAGTAATGGAAACACATTTGTTGACATGACTTATTGATCATATCATATTTTTACAGTGAATCTTTTGTAACATTTTAGACGTCTTTTTTGACCAATTTAATGCATCTTTTTAAAATATTTAATTTCCTAAAAAATAATTTGTCTCATCTTTGATCATTGTTTTATATGTGTGTAAAATGTATCATTGTGATCCAGCCACAAGCCATTTGCTATTCACACTGAATGTGAAAATGCTGCATGATGTTTAATACAGCTATGTGGCGCTAGATTTTGGACCATTGAGGTTTCACTCTGGGCAGGGCTCCTGAGTGCAACCAAATAGATACCAAGCGACCCACCAAATGTTGTTTTCTCAGAGCAGCAACTGTCAAAAACTCTGATTAACATCACATCACTCTTGGTTATCACAGTGTCACAGTGTTATGCTTCATGTCAAGAAGGCATTGTTTGTAGCAGTTCCTGTTAGTTGACATCTAGAGATAATTAAAAACAGACATCATTAAATATCCCACGGAGCTTATGGAATTAACATAAAAACCACCCAAGAGAGCATAGCTGATCATCAGAGAGTCTCAAAGCATTTGATCGTGTGACACTGAGTCACATTACCTGCTGGTTTAATCATGTCACACCGTTCCTCTCTCACAAGTACGCTCACAGGTATTGATGGACCTCTTGAAAAGCCCAGTCTTAGCCGCAGTGCAAGGCTGCTGTCTTAATGAATTGGGCTGTTTTCATCTGCTCATTGAGTGTTTGATGTGTAAGGGCTTCCGTCTGTGTGGTTAACTTTGGTTGCCACGGTAATCAGGCCCTTTGTTGGGCTGTTTTGTTTGCTTGTCTCAGGTTTGATTGAGATCATTAGCAGTGAGGGGAGGACAGTCAAACTCTTCAGAGTTTACATCTGCAGCTGTATACAGTGTGACGCACCACTCCTTTGCTCTTTATACGCACACACACATCGATACAACACTGCTCCCGTCACAGCATTTTTGTTGAAGTGTAATTAGTGGTGCTTGCAAGCATCATTATTACTATTGCTCATACTTAAGGTGAGGGATTTAAACAAAACCCTAAGCCAAAGTAGTAAACCTGAGCTATTCCTGTGGAGTTTGCACTAGGTACACGATTGATACCTCAGTCGTGCAGCTTGTTGTGTGATGTTACTTTGCTTAAAACAGACAAACAAATCACATTGACTTGCAATGAAATAGTGACAGGAGTTAGAACACCCTTGCAATAACCACAAGACCTTTCATCATGGTGGTGACTTTTGAATGGCCAGCTACCACATTTTCCTCAGAAAATGTAAAATATTTGGTATTTGTCATTCATTTAAATTGTGCACTTCAAGTCTTGGGAACAGTATTCATTTTTTTATGTTTTTGAAAGAAGTAAAAATATTAATCAAATTGTTAGTCAAATTATTACAATTTAAAACATATTTTCTATATGAATATGTAATTTATTACGGTGATGGCAAAGCTGAATTTTTAATCAACCATTATTCCAGTCTTCAGTGTCAATTGATCCTTCAGAAACCGTTCTGATATGCTGTTTTTAGGTTCAAGAAATCTTTCTCAGTATTATCAGTGTTTTTTTATTTATTATCAAAGCAGTTGTGTTACTTAATATTTTAATGGAAACTATGATACATTTTTTTCTGTATTGTGTGATGAATAAAAAGTTCTAAAGAAAAGCATTATTTCAAACTAGAAATGTTGTAACAATGTAAAAGTGTTGCATAAGTTACTTTTATTTATTTATTCTTAAATATTCTTAATGTACAGAGACAGCTTTCTAAGTAAGTGATTTTTTTTATTTTTTATTTTGTTTGAGTGGCCCAGGGGTAGGCAAGTTCGGTCCTAGAGAGCCGCAGTCCTGCAGAGTTCAGCTCCAACCCTGATCAAACACACCTGAACAAGCTAATCAATGTCTTCAGGATTACTAAGGCTATAGGCAGGTGAGTTTTGTTTTCAGGGTCGGAGCTGAACGCTGCAGGACTGCGGCTCTCTAGGACCGAACTTACCTACCCCTGGAGTGGCCCAACATGGCAACATTGATTTGACTAGTGATATGAGCTGATGGTGGAACTACCAGACAGGGAGCGTTTTTTGGAAAGGCTGTTCAGATACAATTATTATTTTTGTTGTTTTATTACTGGTGCTGCTGGTATAGTGTCAAAGAAATGACACACTTTGGCCGGTGGCAGAATTGGCAAGCTTGTCCTTTGGCCAAGTGTCACTGAAAAGTTTAATGTATAATAATAGTAATAATCATCATCCATAAGCTTTTTACTCTTGACCATTGATTTTCTGTTTTCACTGATGTCCTCTGTCCTGGTCTAAATTACTTCAAAATCGCTTCTATATTAGAAGGTGATGTAAAGCTGACAGATTTTTTTTTTAAATAAACAATTAAAATAACAAATAAGGGAAGAGATGCCTAATCGGCTTGGATATATATATATATACACACACACACACAGTGGTGACCAAAATTATTAGAACACTAGTATTTTCACCAGCTAAAAAATGGTTTCATGTAGGAAAATGTGTCAGTAGGAAATATCAGTTTGCAAAGCTACCTGAAAAACTCTGCACAAGTGCACTGAGGGCAAAAGCTGCTTTAAACACTAAGAATGGTCACACAAAATATTGATTTAATTTAGTTAATAGAAGTTAATTGATAAAGAAAATCTATTTATGAAATTATTTTTGACAGCCTCTTTATTTTTACAGCATTTTTGCACAAGTGCCTAAAACTTTTAACAGCACTGTAGCTTTGCAGGTAGGTTTCTCAAAGCATCTTGGAGACGTTGCCACAGTTCTTCTGGATTTAGTCTGTCTCAGTTTGTTCTGTTTCTCATGCAATTCCAGACCAACTGGATGATGATGAGATCAGATTAATTATTACAATTAATGGCTAAATTAATGTTTGGAAATGCAAACTGGTATTTCCTACTGACACACTACAGCAGTGATGGGCAAACTTGGCCCTTGCAGGCCACTTTCCTGCAGAGATTTGATCCAACCCTGATAAAACTCACCTGCCTGTAGCCTTCTAGTAGTCTTGAAAACAATGATTAGCTGGTTCAGGTGTGTTTAGGGTTGGAGCTAAACTCTGAAGGAAAGTGGCATGGAAGGGCCAAGTTTGCCCACCCCTGCACTACAGCAAAAGATAGAAATAACTGACTTAAAACCATTTTTTTTAGTTGCTGTCCCTTGCTTCACCTTGTAAACATGACTGAAGACGTAGAGTGAAATAAGAAGCAGAACCTGACCTGTTGACACCTTTGTAGGTATTTATCGTTTGTGTGTGTGTGTGTGTGTGTGTGTGTGTGTGTGTGTTTTAAGAAGTTTTCAAGATAAATGGGCTTTCACCCTTGGCCTAAGAACTAATTCCGTTCAATAACTAACTAACTCTTCCTCCGGTGTGACCGTGCACCACATAATAGTCCTGAAACCATGATGTTATTGTCATGAGTGTGTGTATTAAATTACCTGTTACTGCGATCAATTGACGTAGGGATTAACTTCTTTTGACCTCCTTACTTAGTGGAATGTGACACCTTTGTAGGTATTTATCGTTTGTGTGTGTGTGTGTGTGTGTGTGTGTGTGTGTGTGTTTTAAGAAGTTTTCAAGATAAATGGGCTTTCACCCTTGGCCTAAGAACTAATTCCGTTCAATAACTAACTAACTCTTCCTCCGGTGTGACCCATTTTTTCCAAATTAAGTATTCATTGTAAATTCAATTTGCACTACATTCCAGGTGTACATTTTGTCAGTTCATGTATTTCTTGGCAGTCAAACTCATGACTTTAGCGTCATGCTGTACTGTTTAAAGGGGTCATATGATGCGATTTCAATTTTTCCTTTCTCTTTGAAATGTTACAAGCTCTTGGTGCATAAAGAAGATCTGTAAAGTTGCAAAGACTAAAGTCTCAAATATTCTTTATAAAAGTTAAGAGTCAACCACGCCTACCTAAAATGGCTCGTTCCAACACGCCCCCAAATGTCTATGTCACGATGTGGGAAGATTTGCATAACGCCGCCCAAATGTTCACACAAAGAAAGAAGGCGTAACTTTTATTCTCGCTGTAATGTCGTTGCCGCCGCCGCCATGCCGTGGAGACGCTGCATTTCATTTTGAAAGAGAACTACTTTGTTTGGCCTTCCAAAAGAGGACGATATCCGCTTCATCATGCCTAGAGCTGTTCCATGCTGGTCGCTGAGGAAATGCATCAGCTTCGCGCTGTGGATCGCTGGATCGGCTTTCACTGTGGATGAAGTGGAGTCCAGCCCGGGATCATCACATGTGGTTCCCGCAAGCCTGCCTGCCGCTCCTTCGTCGAATCCGCCGGCCACGCCGTTCTCAAGCCCACCGGCCGTCGAGAAATCAGTGGTTAAGTTGTATTTACAACACTGTTCCAGAACTGTTCAACCCAAATATTCATTTGTGTGCAGCACATTTTATGGAAGACTGTTTCCTGATCCTGGAAGAGTAGACTACAAAGCCAGCTGTTCTGACTCACAGACTGTAAGTACGTTTTTTTATATTTGAAGAATTTGCCACTGATGATTCAAACGTTAGTTTCGAGCAGTGTAGAGTAGCACTTGTTGTTTGTAATTTCTCCGATCACAAATGCATACATGGTTTTATGTTTATGCGGCGTGATGCAGCGCAACGCGTAAAAAGACAGTATAAGTCATTATAATCAGTAATTATGTCCCCACTGGATGCAACAAATGCCTCGTTTATAATGGGTTTTAATGTTTGTCTCGTCGCCTCGGCCTGACAGGGCATCATCACAATATGGTAAGGGGCGTAACATTTCCGTCACACGCTTGAGGTATTCGGCCAATCACAACGCACTGGATAGCTGGCCAATCACAGCACACCTTGCTTTTCAGACCAATGAGCTTTGTAAACATCAATGCGTTTCAGAAAGGCGGGGCATAGACGAGAAACAATAATGTACAGTATGTGGAAAATAATGTGTTTTTTTAACCTTAAACCACATAAACACATTTCATTACACCAAATACATAAAATAATGTTCTTTTTAGCAGCATCATATGACCCCTTTAAGTTACAGGAAAATTACTGTATTGTAGCATCTCTATGGCCAGCATTCAGTTCGCAATGCTAAATTAGTTTTCCACTAATATTCAGAACCTGAAAAGCCAAAATATAAGCAAGTTATCCTAATAACTTTTCATTCAAAACATTCACAAAAATCTAGTCTTTTAATTATAGATCTATTAATGTGATATATATATATATATGTATGTATATATATATATATATATATGTATGTATGTATGTATATATATATACTAAAGTGTAAGCCATGGAAGAAAAATAGCCATGCAGGAAGAAAAAGATAACATTTGATTCCCCCCCGTGGCACACACATTTGGAAAAACAAAATGGTTTAGTGCTATTAATAATGCAAAAAAAACAAAACAAAAGTCAGTTATTTATTGAAATGTAGAGGTTAAATTTACTTGTAAATATTTTAATGAAAAAAGAGGGTTCACAGCGAAGGTGGCAATATTAATGGAGGATACTGTATGTACCCATGATGCACTGTGGAAATGAATTTAAAAATATATTTTTCCTTGTGATTTTATTCTTAAGTGAATAAATTGTATGATATGACAAAATTTACATAGTCCTCTACTATGTGTCCTTCCACTTAACTTCTTTTAGCCTTGGCACATCTGAACTGTTTTTATAAAGAAGACTGAAGCGGTTATCATGATAAAGAATTACAATAGTTTTTCATTTTGAGTTTTTAGGTTAAGTTACTTCAGTAAAAGAGAAAAACAGACACTTGCCAGCCTTTGTGTCATCTGATGTCTTCCCTCACACTTTTTTTCCTTCTCTCATAATTACCTACAGAATGATCGAAACTGATGAGAGGCCGCAAGTGCACCAGCTTTACTTTTTACATTTGTTTTATTTTTGATGTGTAATTTATGATAATTGCGAGTGAAATTACAGGCGTGCATACCTTTTCCCTACAAGATGTTGTGTGCACTCCTGCTTATTTTTGATCCGAGGTGCCGTTCCCCCGCCGACGGAGACAATAAAAGTTACAGTTCGATTGTAATTATTTGCTGTGATTGCAGACTTTGCCATTATCTTTGTTTCATGTGCAAATGCGCCGGCTCTACCTGTTTGAATTTTAATACAAGACGAACAGCTGTAAATTAGGTTTGAAGAAAGAAAGGATATGGAGGTAATTAAGATGGGATTTTTTTTCTTTTACCAAAAATTCCTGAATTAAATGTCATTGTTCGCTGCTAATAGCACCTGGAGAAGGGGGACGCATTCCCATCATACTTCTAGACTATGTGTGAGTGGATTTGTACAGCATGTCTTTACATTTGCCTGTCCCAAATCTGAAAATGATCCTCCATCATCTTGACTTGTAACATCATGAGCATTGTGTAATTTTAGAGGTGTGAGGGTCCTTTTTTTATTCCACTGGAAGCTGGAATAGATTGAATGGTAAAATAATGAGTTGAATTAGCATGATGGCTCATTCTACTGTTTTTAAAGATATGCGTAATTAAATTTCGATATTATCGCTCTGAAATTCAAGCTAGATGATTTATGATCTGAAGAAGAATGCTGCAGAATGTCACAGCCTCCCAATAATATCTAAGAGTTGTATCTTGATTGGGGTCAGAGTTGATTCCGCCTCTCTCTCTCTCTCTCTCTCTCTCTCTCTCTCTCTCTCTCTCTCTCTCTCTCTCTATCCTGCTTTACAGTGTGTGTCCTTGCATAATATTTTTATGGTGGCTAATATGCATTTTTTTGGTGTGAGTGGATTTGTACAGCATGTCTTTACATTTGCCTGTCCCAAATCTGAAAATGATCCTCCATCATCTTGACTTGTAACATCATGAGCATTGTGTAATTTTAGAGGTGTGAGGGTCCTTTTTTTATTCCACTGGAAGCTGGAATAGATTGAATGGTAAAATAATGAGTTGAATTAGCATGATGGCTCATTCTACTGTTTTTAAAGATATGCGTAATTAAATTTCGATATTATCGCTCTGAAATTCAAGCTAGATGATTTATGATCTGAAGAAGAATGCTGCAGAATGTCACAGCCTCCCAATAATATCTAAGAGTTGTATCTTGATTGGGGGCAGAGTTTATTCCGCCTCTCTCTCTCTCTCTCTCTCTCTCTCTCTCTCTCTCTCTCGCTCTCTCTCTCTCTCTATCCTGCTTTACAGTGTGTGTCCTTGCATAATATTTTTTATAATATGCATTTATAATATGCATTTTTTTGGTCTGCTCTTTCCAGAGTGGCTGGTCATCCATTGGCCCAAAATGAGCGCTGCCTGCACATGTTTCTACAGGATGAGTCAGTGGATAAAAACTACACCCCGTCCAAAATTAGACAAGCCTGAACCGGTCTGGACTCTATACACACACACACACACACACACACACACACAAAAACATGGCCCACAATCAATAAGAAAGGTTTGAATCATTCTTAACAGCAACAGAGGCTTAGCATGAACTATAGGGTGTCCAAAACATTTACAAAATAATTGAAAATGTTCTCTAGCGTTAGTTGTGTCCCTTCACCTCTCCAAGTTTTTTTTTTAATTTATTTTTTTTATTTTTTTATCTCTGCTTATAGATTGTTTCAGTCTTTTTGTTCTGATTTATAAATCCATAATGTTAATATTACCACTTTAAGTCAGATCAAATACGTTCTTATGTGTAATTAATTGTGGTTAACAATTATTTATGGTAGTTTTGTCTGAGAGCACCACTAAAATCAAACGAAACACACAAAATAACTATCACAATTATGCAAGCACTATATCACACACATCGGCTTCTCTGTGTTATTGCTACTACCTACTTGTGTTGCTTTTAATGCTGAAGAACACGTACAGCAGCTCACCGTGCAGGATGCACTTAATTGGGAACCTCCTTGATACGTGGTGGTTGATCGTGTGCCGTGTGCCCCACTTAGCTGCAGACAAGCCTGTTTTTACTGTGTAAATGCGGTACACAGGAACACAGAGCGTGCTGCCTACAATGCATGTTTCCAGATTTGTATACTGCTGTGCCATTGTTTTGTTTATGAGAATTTTCCAATAAAATGGATCAAACACATGCATGTATGATGTGGTTTGCAAAACTAAAGCGTCTCTGTTTGCTTCCACTGAAATATCTAAGAGACGATCCTAGCTTTAGTGGTTATAGACATTTAGTCTGCCTTAAAAGCTTTTTCTTCTTGACCATCAGGAGTGTAATTCAGAGGAAATACAATTTGTTAACTGGAGGGTAAGTATTAGTATTTTATGTGCAGGAATTATCAAAATAAAAAGTGAAATTAATTATTCCAAGGTGTTGTTCACCCAGGTTGTGAAGGTCAGTTCCTCCTCAGATGCCCTTCAGAAACAGAGTAGAAGAAACTTTTTTCATTGTAAGAATGTTTTGGGGAAATGATTTACAGTAACTGGTCCTTCAAATAAGGGTCATTTGTTTTGTGTGGTATTTACAATGTATTTTTACTGAAACCAGGACAAAAGTGAACACTGCACTTAATTTATACTTTTTGGAAAGCATATGTAACTATATAGTAAAAACACATAGGATGTATAACTAGGAGTGTACGCTATTGGGAAACAGGTGTGTTTTTGTATTGTTTCTAATTGCTGTACAAGACACTGCAATTAAAGGCCTACAGTACATTCAACCTTTTGTTATTAAGTCTAGCATTGTCTCATATTTTTTGTTTGTTATTCTGTTTCCAGCATGACGGATCGTGCCCAACTTACTTTTGACGGAATTCAAATGTTGTTGAGAGTCAGTATGTGCAACAATGCTGTATATAAGGTAAAGAGAAGGGCACAGCCGCTTGGCTCACGTAACCTTGGAGTTCATTTCACTTCAGAGCAGCCCATTAAAAATGAACTAGGATAAATTGGATTGAAAGTTGTCATCGCAATCATGTTTCTTTCTATTGTATCCGCGCTTGGCTCACGTAACCTTGGAGTTCATTTCACTTCAGAGCAGCCCATTAAAAAGGAACTAGGATAAATTGGATTGAAAGTTGTCATCGCAATCATGTTTCTTTCTATTGTATCCTCTAACAAAAAATGAAGATTAAAAAAAATGCAATTTGGGCAAAGCCCTTGATTTGTGAAAGAGTGCTTGAAATCCCGAGCCGTGCGAGGCACCGCAACTTCACTCAAGGTCCAGGGTATTGTATCGGCAATGGTTCAATATGCACTTGCGTGCAGACGTGAACCTCTCTGTCCCCGTTTATTACCCCGTTTAGGGTGCAATGGACCTTTTGCGGCTTGTAGAAGGAAGCCTTAGAAACCCAGAAAGCAAAAGGAGACATGCATTTGACAGTTGTTGAAGGACCAGGCGATCAATATTCAATATTTATTCTAATATCTTAGAACAACTTTCACAAAAATTATCACTGTACAACGAGAAATGTATTTACAGACTACAAAAGCAAATCCAAGTGCTGATCATGGTGTCTCTTTTCCAGGGTTAGTAGCTAGTCAAACAAAGGTTTAAAATGGTGACCTCCGACATGGCCATGGCATGGGCCACGGATTGAGCAGAAACAACTTTTTAAACCTCAATAAAATTACATTTTCAGAGTGGGCGCACAGAAAACTCACAATGTCGACAGATCTGTATCCAGACGATTTCGAATGCCCTGCCTGTGAACTCTAATCTTCTGTTAAGGTCACAGGGTGTGGGTGCTGCGGCCTCCCAGTCACCTCAATAAGTAATTATGTGATGCATCAAGTCAGTAATGCTCAGTCATGCTGCCTTCCTGCAGAGTTTAATTCCAACCTTTTAGCGTACATTTCAAGTAAACCTGATTAGCTGGTTCAAGTGTTTTGATTAAAGTTGGAGCTTCTGCTAGAAGGTAAAACGGGAATGAACTTGCTCTTCAGTTCTGACTCATGGGCCTTTGGTTTTCAGCACTATGTCCAAGGGACAGCGACCTACTTCCCTGCAACATACCTCATGGTTTCTTTTTTTTTGGTTTTCTTCAAAGTTCTTGTGGACAAATTAATGATACTGGTGCTGAAATCAAAACAGCATTTGTAGGATAAAGGTAGTTGGTCAGTTGGACACAATAAAACATCCCGTTTTGAAATGAATGATTGTACATAACCTCACAGACACTCCATTCAAATATATGACTACGAACTAAGATAATTTTGTATTTAAATCTTGATAGAACAAGAACAGATTAAGCCTGTTAAGTTACTTCCATAAACGAACTTAAATAGATTAAAAGTAAATCAATTAGAAAATTACTGGTTAAACGTTCATTTTTCTTTCTAAGCAGTAAGCTCATCTTGTAGAGATTCAGTCTTTTGTTTGTTTTATAGTTTCCCTGCATAATAACGTCTTGACATTGGTAGAGCTTTGTTCTCCAAACAAGTGCGTGAAGTATCACATTAGGGTATCTGGTATCATCCACAGCGTCCATGCGAATGCCAAGGTCAAAGATACATCTTGATTTCTTTTCTCTGTCTCTCAGTAGCTCATATATCACTGGATTTGTACATGTCGGAGAGCAGTCGTGTGATGGGCACGTTTCCGATGGTCTTTTTGAAGAACACCTCTTCAATGGTGGATGGACCAACTGAACGTAGAGCAGGCAAGAGCAACAGCAGTTTCCCAAAGCGACACGGCTGAGTGGGGTACCTGGAACGCAACAATTCGTTTAAAAAAAAAAAAACACACACACACACACACAAAATGAAGTGGTCTAAATTTGCGTAATACTTATTTAATGTGCTTTTATAGATTCACCCATGTTTCAGGAAGTATTAGCTGTACCTGGTGTGGATGTAGCTGTTTAGAGTCAGCTGGGCTTCGTCCTGAAGGGCTGCAATGGCACTGCCGTTGCGAAAGCTCCTCAATTCTGAGCCACTGTGTGTTGGAACTGCAAGAACGGGGGAAAACAGCGTGTTTGTTCAGACCTACTGTTCGGCCAGTAGAGAAAGTTTCTGTAATTATTAATAACTATTTCGCTTTAATATGTTGTATTTTATTTGATCGAACCCCACCTGCTTTAAAAGTGACGATGCACTTGAGGCACGCGAACTCCGTAGCGTCCAGTCTTAACTGTCTGAAGCGCGTCACGACCTCCTGCAGCGCCTGGATCTCTGCGATGATTTTGTTTAGCCTCTGGGAATCTGTGTTCTCGGTGTTCATTCCTAATTCGCGAGAAAACACAAAACATTTGACTTGTATGGATATAACACTCGAAGTTATCATATTTGTCCAAAACGTGGCGTCAAAAACGTCAATCTTAGGAGTGGGTTACTTGCTGTATGGCCTGGGCTATACCTGAAACCGCTAGGAGAGTGCTGGAGTCCACTGGAATGGCCCACTGCGCTATGCCCAACACGAACAGTTCCCTCCAAGCGTCTTCTAAAAGGATCAACTGCACACAAAAACAAGTAATTTCATTAATGACTATAAATAAAACATCTTTGCGTTTTTCATACTTGACATGTATAGCATATTTAGCCTAATCTGTGTCAAATTAAACCTTATAATAATACTAATAACTTGTTTACCTGGTCCGGTAGAGGGAGTGTGGAGAAGGCCGGAACGCTCTTGGCCCATTTAATGCTCATGAAGAGCAGGCGCGCGGCTGATTCGCACACAGACTCGGTCGCCACTTCATACAGGTACATGGGATTGCCGCTAACTTCATGAGGATACTGAAAAGTGATTACATTATCATAGAAAATAAGCGGGCTAATTCAGCGTATGTTTTAGTGAAGTTCATATAAATCGACAATTCGTTCATTTAAACAACACTGTTCTGAAGGAGCATGTTTACCTTCGGTGTGGGTTGGGCGAGTCCCACAATGGCCTGTCGTTCCGGTGTGCTTGTGACCGTGTTTAACTCCAGATTGTGAGGCTCCAGCTGCGTGACTGTAGTGAAAAACGGCGGCCCCGGGATAGCCGTGGATGGGAAATGGGTCGACGAACCGTTCACCTCTTTATGCCCTCGGAAATACAGTGCCACCTGCTTTCGAATGGTTGAAGTCCTCGGTCCTCTCTCGTGCTGCACGGCTGTAGTGATTTAAGGATCAGTGACATGAGAAAGAAGCGTTCTCATATGATACAAAGCAGAAATCGTTTACAAATGAGTTTAGAAACGTGTCAAATATTTTATTTTGTTCTTGTTGGATTCATACATTTTAGAAAAACGTTTATAGCGTTGTCTATATAGCATAATTTAATGATTTAATGAAATTATACATTATTTTAGGCTACTTGCGTCTTGAAGACACAAAACACAAGATATTTCTTTCCTACAAATATCTTGAATAAATAAGCTACTTTAATTAGGATTAGCTACATTTGACCTTTTTGATAAAAACGTTTTTAGTCTTGTGATAACTGGGCATCTCACTCTCTCTTTCTCTTTCTCTTTCAAATGTTAATAATATAGGCTATATAAGTGGCTTTACGGCTGACTACTATTTTTAAAAAATGTCAAACATTTAGCCTATGAGAGTGTTACAGTCTTGTTGTTCGTAAACAACTTAAAAGCAATCTACTTTTTTAAGGTATGAAT